ATACTAATTTTCGCCATTAAAATCTTGTGGGCTCACTCTGAATTCAATGAATTATATTTAACATCTTTTTTTTACGTAATAAATGATATAAATTATGTGCAAGCGTAGATAGCATTAATTTAAAAGTTAATGTGACACGTAAAATTAGATTTTACCATACAAACTTTATGTCATCAATTATACTAATGTAGCATGATCCGGATGCAAACTTTTCAAAATTCCGTAAATAATTGCAATATAATAATTATGATAGTTTTAATTTTTTTTCAACAATAAATAGTCATGATCCCTTAAATTTGTAAAATATTACATTATTCATTACATTATTCATTGCAGGCTTGTAAAGTTATTTTTGAGTTTTCATAATAAAATCTTCTAACGTTAATAAAAATAAAATAAAATAGTGGTTGGGGTAATATAAAAGGGCAAAGTAAATATTTAAGGTTTTCCCATAATAAACTGCCATTATAATTTCAAAATATTTATAGTAAGGTTGTTGTTACAAATATTTAATGGTTGAACAATCTCATTTTTCAATAGATATGAATACTTCTATGAAATGTCATACTTCAAAACATAGAACTAATAAATAAAATTATGACATTTCATAGTATAAGTATAGATTCTTATAAAAAAAAATATGACGAATCGACTATATCGGTTCAAATAAAATCTGATGAGTATTTATATTTAAGAAAAGAAAAAAACATAAATCCTGATAAGAAGGCTATTAATGTCCCGCATGATACAGATTGAAGTATTCAACCGCCTCTCCAAATTGCAACGAGGCACCATAAATATCATCAACTACTAAACATTATATTCTGAAACATAGTGTTATAAAAACTCTGCTGCAAAAGGACTGACAGCTAATTCTTTACATGACCACTTAGAACAATTATTTCTTAAATTAAAAAATATGGAAAGTACCCACTTGAAAATAGTAATTAATGTTTGATAAATTTGGCCAACAAATTATATTTAAAATTTTAGATTTTTCTTTTCCCACAAAATTGCAAATATCAATGTCAAAACAGATTATTGTCTGTCGGCGCACCTAAGCGGACAGGTTTGGGCCTTTGCCCAACTAGTCGCTCAATCGCGGGCGTATTGGGCCCACGGTGATCAGGTGGGCCGCGGACCAGGAGTCACCTGCCCGTGAAAATGCGGAGTATTTTGCTCCGCTCCATTTGAATAGCGGGCAAGTTCGGACGGGTCAACCCATTTCACACTAATAATTGCAAACTATGGTCAATAGAGATGAGAATTTATCCAACATGTTTCGCAATTGCGGATAGTTGTCCATTAATGATCAAACACGTGAGTTAATGGTATATTTTGCCTTTTTTTGCAATTATCACTAGGTAATTTTCGCACAAGGTATATTTGCGCCTTTTTTTATTATTACGTGAGTAGTTTTTCTGATGCAGAAGTTAATGAATAAATTTGCCACATGTCCCAAAATTCTCAATAATTTATGATTTTTTTAAATAAATTTGTAATTATTAATAATCAATTTGATTAATCGAATTGAATAGAATTTAGAATTGAATATATTTATAAATACATAAATAATGTTCATTTCACATTGCGCAACTACCGAAATAAATTTATCTAATATTTTGAATCACAAATTGAATTAAGAAAGTTTGATTTAGTTACAGCTCTAGTCGTTGTGGGCTGATCTGAAATGTTGATTTCATGTTGGATAACTAGTGTGACATAGTTAATACTCAACATAAGACGATGATTTTTATGGAAAATTAGCTATATATATATATAAAATAACTTATTTTAACCAATTTTTATTTATATATAGAATAACCCAAGCTCTCTAACGGCACCAAATTATGCTCTCTGCCTGATTTTCTCCCGACACATATCCCTTTACTCCTGAAAGAACCACATATTATCCAACTTTTTCTTTTTTATTTTCCACCTAAAAAAAAAAATCTCCATTTTATCCATGGAAAATCACAGCCAATCACAAAAAACCCCCAAAACTAGCCGCAGAAAAATCTTCATCCTATCCGCCGCCGCATCTCTACTGCTAGCTGCCGCCGTTTCCGTCGCCGCCGTCCTCTCCGGCGGCACCTCCGCCGCCGTCTTCGCCCACCATGAAGTGGTCCGGTCCACCTGCGCCACCACCCTCTACCCCGACCTCTGCTTCTCCACCATCCAGGCGGCGGCGCCGGCCGCCGGCGCCATCCGCTCCGCCAAGGACGTTCTCTTCGCCGCCCTCAACTACACCATCTACACGGTGGAGCGGAACTACTTCACCATCCGGAGCACCGGCAGCCTGCGGCGCGCGTCCCTGACGGCGCGTGAGGTCGGCGCACTCCACGACTGCCTGGAGGTCACCGGCGACACCCTGGCGGAGCTCCGGGAGAGCGAGGCGGAGCTCCGGGACTTCGGTTACCGGAACTACTCCCTGCCGGAGCACCGCGACCACCTCATCACCCTCCTCAGCGCCGCCCAGACCAACCAGGAGTCCTGCCTCGACGGCTTCTCCCACGACGGCGCCGACAAGAAAATCCGGCGGTCACTCGTGGCCGGCCAGCGCCATGTCTTCAAGCTCGTTTCCAACGTCATGGCCATCATCGCCAACCTCTCCGACGCCGAGGCGGCGGCGACCGGCGGCCGCCCGGAGAGGAACCTCGCCGCCGCCGCCGGAGATTGGCCGGAGTGGCTGTCGGCGGGGGACAGGCGGCTGCTGCAGGCGGGTACGGTGGCGGCGGACGCGACAGTTGCCGCAGACGGGACTGGAAACTACCGGACGGTTGCGGCGGCGGTGGCGGCAGCGCCGTCGGGAAGCAGCCGGAGGTTCGTGATAAGGATAAGGGCCGGCGTTTACCGGGAGAATGTGGAGATTCCGAGAGGAAAGACGAATTTGATGTTCGTCGGAGATGGGCGGACGACCACCATTATTACAGCCAGTCGGAGCGTGGGCGGCGGCAGCACCACCTTTAACTCCGCCACCGTTGGTTAGTATTAATTTCCTCGATTGGATCACACACTTACCCACTTTTCACCCCCAATCACGTTCACACATTTAATTTAACGTGATGAAACCACCTCTCAACCAGCAACATCATAATTGTCATACCAATCAATAGTTAAATTCAATTACTACTTAGACTAATTTAGATAATAAGGACAAAAGTCAACCTATCTACCCAAATTGCCCTCAAAAGTACATACTTACACACGTGACAATATATCATTTGTGTGATCTGTCCACACGCGTGCAGCCGTGATCGGGACCGGATTCCTGGCTCGGGACATCACGTTCCAGAACACGGCGGGGCCCTCCAACCACCAGGCGGTGGCCCTGCGCGTGAATGCGGACCTCGCGGCCTTCTACCGTTGTGACATGCTCGCGTACCAGGACACGTTGTACGTCCACTCCCTCCGCCAGTTCTACTCCGGCTGCATCATCGCCGGCACCGTCGACTTCATCTTCGGCAACGCGGCCGCAGTTCTTCAAGACTGCGACATCCACGCCCGCCGCCCCAACCCTAGCCAGCGCAACATGGTCACCGCCCAGGGCCGGGACGACCCCAACCAGAACACCGGGATCGTCATCCAGCGGTGTCGGATCGGGGCCACCTCTGACCTGCTGTCCGTGCAGTCGAGCTTCCCGACCTATCTCGGCCGGCCCTGGCGGGAGTACTCGAGGACCGTGGTCATGCAGACGGAGATCAGCAACGTGATCCGACCCGCGGGTTGGTACGAGTGGAACGGAAACTTCGCGCTCGACACTTTGTTCTACGCGGAATACGCTAACACGGGGGCTGGGGCAGGGACCGCCAACAGGGTGACGTGGAGGGGGTTTAGGGTTCTGAGGAGCGCCTCGGAGGCTGAGCCTTTCGCGGCCGGAAGGTTTATTGCCGGCGGGAGCTGGTTGGCGGCGACGGGATTTCCACACAGGCTCGGGCTTTGATTCTTTCTTTCTTTCTTTTTTTTTTTCAATCGTTGTCGGTCTGTTTACAGTTTCCACGTCCATGGACAAATAAATAGCATGCTTTTGCGTGCTCGATTCACATTTTTTTTCGTGATGTTAGGGAGTGTTTGAGCGTTGAGGATCACTTTTTAAGTACAAATTGGTGGCGTAAGTAGGGGGATGGGCTTCTATGCACATTTTGTTCTTGTATTTGAATGGTAAGAGGTTTGTATTTGTAATAATAGGAACATTTGTATTTGTGTAATGTTTATGAAAGTGTGTTGAGCTTGTTATATATCTTATTACCACATTCAAAAGGCAGTGATTAAGTAGGATTACGTGACAATCGTGCATGCCCGATCAAGACTAGCAAACAAGATGTCAGAACGTAACAGTGTTTGTCTAAAAAGGAAATTTTGCTAGTTGCTAGAGATTTCTATAAAAGGAAATTGATTATGAGAAGAAGACATAAACGCAACTTCATGCCCTTTATAGCACCCTAGAGGTTTACGCGGCTCGGGACTCCACGTTTGTGAACACGTTTGGGTCATTCAACCATTGGGCCTGCCGACTTCATATTCGGCCCGGCCCAAATCAAGCAGATTAGGTTATGTTGTAGGGTTCACGGTGTTGGCAAGAGATGGAGATTTTTTCCCATGAATAAGGTATTGTGTTTAATGTTCGTCTTTAGTATTGTGCCGGCTATTACCACTCTTACTGCTGGAGGAATTTATTGTGGGCGAGGAGTGGCCCAATTAACTGTGGAATGAGTAAATTTGAAATGAGAAAATTACCCCTACACATTATAAGATTATATTATAATTTTATTTACACAATTAGACACCTTATGTAAATAATAGCAACATAACTGTAAATTATGCTTTTATTTGCAGATAACTTATACATCATTTAAAGAATATTTTATTCATTAATTAAAGAAATGTATGAATTCCAAAAAACATCCTCGATGCATATGGTAAGATCTCTCTCTCTCTCTCTCTTCTCTTTTGTTATCTCACCTCCTCATCCCTCTCTCTCTTCTTCACACACAATATCCATGGTGAAAAATCATAGCCGGAGATGGCACCCGGACGATAAGAAGAGGCGGCTAACGGTCGCGGTCACTAGTGATGGTGGATTTAGGCAATGGTCGTCGGAGGTGGGTGCGCGGTGGTGAGTCCGACGTTGCTAGGAGGCATGACTGATCGAGATTTCGTTTTCGAGGCGGAGGACCGACGGCTTGACGCAAGCGTCGTTGGTGAAGATGATGTTGGAGGGTCGACAGTCCCAGCCCAACGCCGCCAACGGCTGTATCATAGGTGAAGGTGGTGCAAGGTTGGAGCAATTTGCAAGAACATAAGGGAGAAGTACTGCAACAAGCATATATCGAAACTTTTGAATAGGCAGTATATGTTGAGTATATAGACAGTATATTTTCAGTTTATAGACATTTTATGTTTTGTATATTAGAATATTTTATGGATACATCCAATATGATGATGTGTTTCAACGTTTATTTAGTTTATTAGAAGATTTTTTGTTGATTATTGTTTATGTTTTTTTTTTCGATATTTAGTATATAACACAATTATGTACGTACATATTAAGTAATAATTCATTTTTATGGAGCTTTTGAGTTGTCGGCACGCAGATAGTTTCGATCGGATATGTTTTCAATGTTTATTTGATGTATATTTACATTTTATGTTAGGTATTTTTTGCAGATTTTTTGATGAGGAAATTGATATAAGATGACAAATGTTGTAGTTTATTTTACCGGAGTAGAATCGAAAGATTCGAACACCGGGTCGTGTTCTCAAGGAAGGTTAGCCGGACTAAATCGTACGTATATTCAATCACGAAAAAGGAAAATAAACCTACACATTCTAATTCGATTATATGATTATGATTATCAACTAATAATTCTAAAATAAAGCTATTTAAATGTGCAACTCACAAATGCAATACAAGAATATATAAACGAGCTAGGGTGTAGGGGATAATCGCTTCTGGTTCTACATGCAATTAACGACAATCAACAACTCGGTTAAAAGGCTCGACTAATTAACTCATTTAGCGGTTTAAACCAATGTTATCAAAACCGGACTGGACCGGCCGGTTCGACCGGGACCGGACCTAGTGCCGGTCCAGCTTGAGTGTTTAAATCGCTGGGAACAAGAACCGGTTTCGAACCGGTTCAAAACCAGTAAAACTGGTGAACCGGTACCAGTTCGACTGGTCGAAACGATTCTGAAATTTGAAAAAAAAAAAAAATCTTAATGAAATAAAAAAAAATCAAACAAAAGGAAAAGAGTGAGAGAGTATTTTGATGTTTGATGAATTGTAATGTTGGATTGGATATATTTTGATGTTTGATGACTTTGTAGTTTGTATTTGTAATTTGCATTGCCTTACTTTAGATAGTAGATATTGAATTATTAATCTATTGTTTTAGTGAACTTAATTTAGTATTGCTTATGGTAAACTATACTTAAAATATTGATTTATCAACTCTTATTTAGAAAAATATTATTACATGCTATAAAATTAATATAAAATTAATGATAAATATATATATATATATAATTATATATAATGCATATAAAATAAATAAATAAATTGTATATTAGTTAAACCGGTTCGACCACTGGTTCGACCAGCGAACCATTGAACCAGTAGCTTCACCGGTTCAATGACCGGTCCGGTTTTGATAACATTGGTTTAAACTCAATAACTCTTCGTAACATGCGAATAAACATAAACGAGCAAATCAACGAAACAATCAACACATAGACAATACGTCTCCGAACATGCCTACTCTCAACGAGCTGAGTTCCACTAATTTCTTCCCTCTCGGTTATAAAATCGATTAACTAGGTTAAAATGGTGATCAGGTATCTAACCCTAGGATTAATCAAACTCATAAAGATTGAGCTATCAACATGCATATAAACGAGAACGAACCGAATGATTATCCCCTAGCCCCTAGCAAATGGATTAGCCATACATTGTCATCTCAACACAAGTATTCACATTAAAACAAGCCATTCTCAACATCATAAACACTATGAAGAAGAAGAACACTTACTAATAATGTGCAATCCAATGTCAAACGTAAGTACAAGTCAAATCCAAATGTCAATAGTCTCCAAATGTTACATGTTCAAACATGAAAAACCAAAGAAAAACTAAGAGAGAACTAAGAGAAAATGGAAGAAGTGAAGAGAATCATGTAGAATGAGGGAGAATGTCTACTTGGGGGTGTAAAACTGAGTTTACAAGGTGAATTGGTCGGTCAAAACAGGTCTCTCCTCGATCACACTTCCCACCATGCGAGAAAAACGAGAAAATCCCACTTGTTGCAAACAAGGTCTAGCGCCGCTAGGCGGGGGGGAGGGGGGGCTAGTGGCGCTAGCCCTTATCTAGCGGCGCTAGGTCATGTGAGGTCGAAGCTTCAGAAGTCCGCTAGAGGGGGTAGCGCCGCTAGCTGTCTACCCTTAGCGGCGCTAGGGTTTGGCCATCAACAAAAAATTTCCTTTTTCTCGCGCTTGGTCTCGACAAGCACTTCTCGGGTTCTGCTCGAGCTGAAACTCGACTCCCGAGCATTTGGTCGCACGAAACGACATAGAACTCCTCAGAACCGGAATGGAATCGTTAAAAACCTGTAACCTTGACAACTAAAAAAACACGAAAAACAAGAAAAATAGGAAGAAAAATAACAAAAATAACAAACACACCAAAGTAATAATGAAAATACAAGAAACGACTAAAAGGGACCGGCAAATCCTAAGAAACGACCTAAAACGAGGGAAAAGACTGACAAAATACAAACAAAAATAACAACAAAAATGGGACAAACAACAAATGAGCAATTTGTTTTTCTTATTGTTGTTTATGTTGTTTTTCGATATTTAGTATATAACACGATTGTATGTGGGAAATGCTACAGTCCCGTTACGGAACCATTTCGTGGTAGGTTTTTAACTGTAGATTGTTTATCTACACTAATCTATATGTATATCTGACGGATAAAAATCCTGACGGAATGGTTTCGTAACAGAGTGTAGTCTCTTCCTATGTATGTACATATTAAGTATATAACACGATTATGTTATGTATATGTGAATGAATGATATACTAATTACAGTATATCGGGCTGCAACTCTGTTGTTCAAGACCGTATATGTGATGTGTATATATTGTATATATTCTTATGTATTCATTTAGTCTTCACATGTTCTCCTCATGTTTATCAGGTGTATTTATTTTTGGAAATTAATGTAATTGGTGTCAGTTACGGAAATTAAGGAAGAGAATCCGTTTTTTTAATTGATAAACTGATAATATTCATGTTCCTAATTATTTACTCAAGATATGGTAACAGTGCATTATTTTTTCTTTGATCGTATATAAGCAATTATTTACAAATCATAAACGCAAGAATGTAAATGTCCCATTTGAAATACAATATTAGTAAACGTTAAGCCTAAATATTCTCCCATTCTCATAGATATTGGTTAATCATCTCTTATATGTGTGTATATATAGTTACATTTGAATCTAATTTTTAGACTAGTACAACACCCGTGTACTGAAATTATATATAAGAGGGATGTGTGTGCAATATTGAAACGAGGGTGAGGGGAGTATAGAGTACGCAGACTGTGCTAGAACACAAAAATTATGTATTACGAAATTGTGTTGCAACACAGAATTGTAAATATAAAAGCGGAAGCGATATAAAAAGATATATGTATTCGGGGAGCATCCCACTACCCTCAGAGCTCTTTCATTGATAAATCGGTTTGCGCGTACAAAGTACAGCTTGGACTTATTCGACTCGGACTCTCTCCTAGCCTAGCCAACACTATACCCGATCCTATCAATTACTTTTCCTGGCCACATCCCGTGGACTTTACACACTCGAATCCCTCGAGCAGACCCAATACTTAATCCTTAAGCACGCAAAAATTGTTTGTAAGAAGAAAAAGAAACTAAACAAACTCAGTTCGCTAACAATTTAAGAACACTGAAGTGTTGTGACGAACAAAATAAAAAGAATAAAAATCTCTCAAACACTCAATTGAATATGATGAAAGATGAACTCGATTATTGCAGCAACTCTCTTCAGTTAATTGTTTGAGTAGACTTATATACAATCTCCTTAAGGTAAGGAGTCTTCATAAGTTTTTCCTTTTCCTTTTAAGAGTCAATTTCCTTCTCAATTGATTACTTTCTGATTTGGATGAAATCCTTCATTAATAATAAGTTTCCTTGATGTAGAATTCGTGTATGTGATTTGAAGATCTTCAGAATTGAATTTCCAATGCAAATCTTGTGTTCGCAGACTGATGTAAGAACACACTTTCCTAAAATAGCTAATCTTGCAATTCTTCAAAGATCTTTTGGTAAATCTTTCCAAATCCGCCTTAGATCTTCTCATGAACGTCCAGAATTCGTTGTGTATGAATAGATCATCCCTTCATAATCCTTGCCACCTATTTCTTGTCATACAAGAGAGAGAAAACTAATTATGGCATAGAATCAAGCTCATTAATGCATGTGGCATATATGGTAAGTAAATATATAAGATATATATTATGTAATCCTTCTCCTAAAGGTTTAGGACTCCATAATAAATATTATAATAAATATATACCATATATTATTAATAACTAGTACGTAACCCGTGCGATGCACGGGACAATGATATAAATGAGTTATTTTCACAGGCTTTGTCTGTTAAGACTAAAAAACAATAAGGTTATCATCTATTTTATACCTATTTTAATCAACGTTAAATCTAAAAAACAATGCTATTATAATTTATTTTCTACTTCTTTTAATCAGCGTTGTTTTTTAGCCAGAAAATTAAATATGAGCATATTTGGGCTAACTTGTAAAATAATTAATATATTATCTCACTAAGACACTTATACTAATATAAATTTTATTTTAGTACATATATTTATTCTTCGATATAAGAGAATATAATGTTATTATTATTTTTTTATACCTTTGTTGTCATATAATGTCATTATTATTCATAAAAGTTGTAATCAATTTAATGGAAGTTAGTATTATTTATTTATGTAATCAATTTAATATACATAAAAATATTTTAAATTAAATAGTGTATAAATATTTTATAAAATACACACACATGTTTTTTAGAATTTAATTTTGTATATTAATTAACCAACTTTGATTTAGCAAATGTCAAAAACTTAACCCCTTCTATAATCAAGATTTTTCTACTTTTCATTATAAGAATTTATAGTTTATTTAGCATATTCTACAATGAAAATATATTTTACAATTTTATTATAGAAAGA